AGACTCTTGATTATACTGGGTTCATCCTAGGTAACACAATAATCTTAAACATTCCAGGAACCCTGACTTCATCACATATTTAAAGTTCCTTTGCCACATAGAGTAACATATTTATAAGTTTAGGGAACTAAGACATGAGCACTTTAGGGAGCTCTTTCTACCTACCAGACATGCAAATAACCAAAATAGACACACAAAGAAATTATCTGAATAGGCTTACACCTCACACAGAACCTGAATTTGTGGTTAAAAATCTTCCCACAGAGAAACACCTTCAGGCTAAAATGACTTCAGTGGTAAATTCTGTCAAACATTTCAGAAAAAAATGAAACCTGACTCTTCAGGCCAAACACAAAAATTAACCTAACATGGTCACAGATCTAAACATAAAGGAAAATACATGAATTTCCAGAAAAGGACATAGAAGAACATGTTAGTGACCCTGAAGTAGGTATGTATGTATGTATGCATGTATTTGCAGTACTGAGGGTTGAACCTAGTGCCTTGTATATGCTAGGCAAGTGCCCTACCCCAGCCCCTTCATGTTTCATTTTGAGACAGGCTCTAAGTTGCCCAGGTTGGCCTCAGCTGCAACTCTTCTGACTCAGCTTCCCAATACCTGGGATTAAAGTCTATGCCACTATGCCTTGCTGGTCAAGAGTTTTTGATAGGACACAAAAAAACATATACCACAACAGAAAATTTGTAATTTTTTCACTATAATTAAATAATCTGCTCTTCAAAAGACAATACTAACCAAATGACAAAGCAAGCCACTGAGAGGTAATAGCTGCAATTGATACATCTGACAAAAATTGCTTTTCAGAACGTCTAAAGAACTCTAACAACTCAATAAGAGAACAAAGAATTCAATGGAAGCAGTGGGCATAGGAGACATGCAAATGGCCAGTCAGCATGTGACAAGATACTCAGCAGCGTTAGTCATCGGTAAAATAATACTAAAACCATATTATACTGAGCTGGGTGTGGTGGCGCACACCTGTATTCCTAGCACTCTTGGAGGTTGAGGCAAGAGGATTGAAAGTTTGAGCCCAGGCCAAGCAATTTAGTGAGACCCCCATCTCAAAATAAGAGTTGTGTTTGTAGCTGGGTGTAAAGGCCCTGGGTTAAATCCCCATATATATAGGGGGGAACAACATACTGTACTAACCTACTCAATTTGATAAAATAAAAAGAGGATGTCAAATGTTAGTAAGAGTGAGAAACATCTGGATCTCATATATTTCTAGTAAAAATAGTACAACCACTGGGAAAAACAATTTAGTAAGTTAAATATATATATTTTCATATAATCTAGTAATTCCAACTGTAGATTTTTAGTCTTGACAAAACATATGAAAACATGTGTCCACACAAAGACTTGTTCTTTAGTCATTGTAACATTTATTCAAAATAACCAGAGCCTGAAAACAATCACAATGACCATCAACAGATAAACAGAAAAAGAAATTATGCTGCATCTATTGTTAACACTCTCAGAAAGAAAAAGGAACAAACTCAAGACATTTGTAATGGGGTGGATGAACCTCAAAAACATTATGTTGTAGGAAAAAGACAACAAAAAGCGTGAACCATACTATTTCCATTAATATTAAATTCTGTAACCAGCAAAACTAACTTCTGTTGACAGGAAGCAGATCAGTGGTTAACTGGGGCTGTGGACAAGAGGCACTGACTGCAGAGGAGCATGAACTTACTTTTTGTGATGTTGGCAATTTTTATTATAGTGGTGAGTACATGGGTCTGATAGAGGGGAAAGAAACTCCCAGCCTGAAAGGTATCTGAGATGAGGGTGTGTTCTCTAAAATTGAAGAATGAATTTTAGGGACAACAGGGGTTAAGAACGGAATATATTTATTGGGGGGAAAGAAAAAGCTGTCCAAGAGAGGGACAGAAGGGGACCTGAGTGGGTTGCCAAGGAACCTGCCTTTTCTAGGGATTTTTATAGAGCAAAACCACAAGGTGAGGCCAAGGTGGGAAACATGGGAACTCTCTAGAGGGGCATGAGATGGGACAAAACTATGATCAACCAATAAGATTACGACTATAACTGCTTAGGTAAAATTGATTAAATCGGGATCAAATGGGGAAGCGAGTCAAGTAGCAAGTGGATATGAATACAGAGCAGAGGCTTTTCCTGTAGGGGGTTGGGTTAGTGACTCTTTCTTGCTTTTTCAAGGTGATTGATACCTATTTAGAATATCAATCCCTGATGTCCATCCCTAGAGGGGTACGTGGGTGCATCTGTTTAATCTTTTGTCTTGAGGTTGGACCCACGGTGGAAGTGCCTGTCTCTCCCACAGTTGCAAGGTATCTTGTCTTCCATACTGGCTCCTTCAAGGGCCCAGCCCTGTCTGACTGTCTATAATATTTCTGTCTAACTCAGCTTCCTACCACAAGTTTATTTGTCAAAGCCCATTGAACGGTGTACTCAGAGTGAGTGCATATTGTTGCATATAAATTATAATTCAATAATTTAGATTATT